TGATATATCTAATAAACAAACAAATATGGAATCACAAATCAACAAATAATTTAGTTTTCTAAAATCAAAATTCTACTCATTCCTGTGTTGTTTGTTGTGAATTTTTAATTCATTGTGTGAAGCTACTCTGTCGACTACACTTTCTCCTCACAAATGTCTGTAACTCACGAAAAGTTTACATTTCACATGATCTGCATGTGTGAGAAACTTGATGACTTACATTCAATTCAAATGTTTATCATGATACTTAAGGTGGAGTTTCGAAACCAACAGTCGGATGGGTGCACATTGACGAGGTGATTATTGGCACTGCCTGTTGAGCTCACTGTAGAAATCATATTGACTGTAGTTATGGTGTATGTTGTCTTGTGTATACCATGAGATATACAGATCAAGCACACAATACTCCCATTGATGATGGGTCAGATTTCTCGTTGCAAATGCTAATCATCTTATGTGTAGTCGTCACCTGTTATGAATGAATATTCGTATGACTGTCCTGGTAGCCAGACATTTTCAGTGGATAAGCCTATTCGTCTAATATTGACTCCTTAAACTCCTAGTCCTCGATATTTGTGTTGACGACATCTGGGAGACTTTTCCTTCAGTGATATATTCCACCAACACACACACGCGCGCGCATACACTCACACACAAATAAATAAACTAATTTGTATTCATACTCATCATTGTAAAGTCGTAATGAATTATGCACAGTAATATGACATTCGCTTCATTCAGGTCGAACTCTACACGTCTAGAAGGCGGCCAGATGAATTTCTTACAACTAAGGAGGTTAGAGGCGGTGAGTACTCATCGGTCGGATGCATCTGTATCCTCAGAGTTGAATAAACACCACTCACTGTCGAAATTGAGAATAAGTTACTAGTGAGATATTCATATCATCAGCGATTTAGTGATTGTTGGTAAAATTGAGAGCACCCAGTATACTTCTATTCTGTAGTTGATCTATCCCAGTGGAGAGTTTTGCAAGCGAAACAAGATAAAAACACATTTATTTGTGGTTGTACTTTTGTATTACCCACCTCAGCTTTTATTTAACTGTGAAAATATGCAGAATCAAATGAAACTAATTTGTTGTATTATTCAAAGTTTGACGAAGGCATTTCACAAATAAGTAGACGTCTTCAAAACTGTTATACAATGGTATTGGTGAAATACGTAAGAAACTTGGTTTCCGATAGTCACATATAGCACCCAACTGTAAGAGATTCTCATAAACTTTCTCGACGTTAGCGCAAGTGAAACTCAATGTCAACTGTGCACCACGTTCACTTGGATTGGATGGTGTCACCAGCTGATATTGATTGTGTGGCAGAGCTAATGGACTGCTTGTAATCAAATATTCAAGGTAATTAGTCAATTGTATTGACTTTTCTCTCAAACGATGCATACCTCCACATGATTTGATTATATCGAGACTGACCGTTAAGGCGGCAGCCAATAGTAATGGAGGATTAGATATTCGATAGGCATCAGCGCCTTTCGCCAATTCCATATGGCCAGTGAGATCAAGTCGTGTCTCGGATCGATGACTCCACCAACCGGTCAACTGTGGACCAGATATGTCATTGTGAATACCATTAGTGTTGTTGCTGTTGTTGTTGCTAGTGGACTCAACAAATTTCGGTCCATAACTACCTTCTTGATGATGATGTCTTTCATGGACGAATAAACCACCCATAGCTCCTGGACTGCCATTCAAGTATTTGTATGAACACCATACAGCCATATCAACATCCCAGTCGTGTAGACGTAGGGGCACATTACCGACAGCATGAGCTAAATCCCATCCAACTGGACATTGTGAATATTCATGACCCCATCGAGTAATTTCTTCCATGTTAAATAACTGTCCCGTAACATACTGTACTCCTGGTAACCAAATCAATGCAATTCGATGCTGATTCTGCTTAATCGCTTGTAGAATATCTTCATTTCGCAAACAGTACTCATTGACACGTGGTTTCATCTTGATAATGCACTCGTCTGGTGTTAAACCATGCCAATTGATTTGTGATTCCAAAACATACAGATCACTTGGAAAGATTCCATCTTCAATTAGGATGCAGTTCTTATCACCTTTCGGTCGGTAGAATTTTGCAATTAACATGTGCATATTAACTGTTAGATTACAAGTGATGCTAACTTCACTTGCTTGAGCATTGACAATCCATTGAGCACAATCGATTGATAATTGTTCATCACAATAGGATGCTGGCAACTTACCATAATGATAGGCTAAAACGCCTAAATCTCTCCACTGATTTAATATACTATCCAGATAGGCTTTCAAGCGTGTTGGTTGCAGACCCATTGAATTTCCACAAAAGTAGAGAATCCGTTTTTGTGAATCACTTGCATCACTGTCTTGACTGCTGTTGTCAGATTTCGACTGAATCACTTTCATCACTTCATTGTAATCTGGTAAATGAAATTCTGATCGATAGGAGTGTAGTGAGTCATTCTTGTCGAGTTCTAATGCGAAGTCGATTGAGTTGATATCCACTTGATAATCACTAGCCAACAGTTTCAACTGCTGTTCAGCATAACATGTGGCCATTCTCTGTGTGTTCGGTGTGTTTTCGCGTTGTTTAATAATTGACCGATTCTTGTCGATTGTTGTCAATTTAAGCAGTCAGTGTTTCGACACGATTGGCAGTGACAATAATTTTATCAACCAATCATTTGAGAAGAATACAGCTGCGTGGATATCTTTGATTGGTTGAGAGTGGAAGATGACCTCACCCTCTGACCGTTTCAGTATGATTGGTTATTTACCCGTATAGTCTCTACTACATCCGTACACAAAGATAATTATTCATTCATCCACTTTTGATAAATATGGTGTTTCAGTAATTTGAAAATTCTCATTCAGTCATAGAAAAGAAAAGGCGTTCAGCAAAGAGTTACTCTTTTCGGCGATATCATTCTCAAGCTGTACAAACCGCAAATTTATAGTAATTTTTTCTTGGCAACAAAAGGAATATTTCCAAAGATGGAATTGGTAATTTTTGACAACAAATTACGTAATTTAGAAGGCGTTAATCGGTTAGAAACTAAAATAAAGTTACAAAAGTAGGTTGGGTGACGTAATCTAATTGCTAGGGTTCAATGAAAAAATGAATGAGAGTCAAGTTAATAATCTGAGTAGAATTCACTTAAAAAAAAAAAAACGAAAATGGAGTTAGCAACAGTCGTCATGAGGGTAGAGATTTAATAGAGGGTGGGGGTAGAAAATAATGCAATTAAGAAACAGACAAACAAAGAAGAAAGAGGTAAGACGAAATTACGTATTTGATGTTGAGATAGATCAGGACCATTGTAGATTTAGTGACTGAATAAACTTCTTTTGTATGCAGAGTTCAGGATTCAATATGTGAATTGCCATTGCTTCTGCAGTTTGAAGAAGTTTAATTCGTACTCTTTTGGCAAGGTTCCCACGTATTGTGTAGATAACTGAGAAGTTGCTTTGTGGGTTTGCTTGGTGTCCGGATTCGATTAAGTGTTCTAGGATAGAGCTGTGGCGGGGGGATCTTCTTTCTCCTTTATAAAACCATGAAGGTAAGTGTTCGCTGATTCGTTTGGATAGCAAACGCTGGGTACGGCCGACATACCTAGCTCCACATGAGCAGGTGAATTGGTAGATGCACATTGATGAGGCCCCCAGTGGAAGCTTGTCCTTCACGTGGTGCTGGTTCTCTTTACCACTGACATTAAAACAAAATGTGTAATTCATTCGAAATTTTTATTTGGCTGATTATTGCACAAAGCACATTTCTTTTCTATAACTGGCTTCTATTCAGGTTCTACAGTTATATCTCCATGATCGTGACAGAATAATTCCGAATGATAACTACAATTGCTACAATTATGGTTTTTCAATATTTTTTATTTCTATTTTTTGATTACAGCTTGACGCCACACCGTATTTTCAGTACAAATATGGAATTTTCAGCGTGAATATCGGTAGCTCAAATTTTGCAGGTAGACCATAGATATCGGGTGTGCGTCGGCAGGGGATCAAACCCCGAACCACATGCATGGTCGGCGAGAGTCCTAACCACTGTGCCACCGATGCACAAAAAACCAGGGAGTACTGGACAGCTGCTGTTTCATCCTAGTATGAGAATCATCCGCAGTACGCACCCACTGCCAGGGTTCGAACCAGGACCTTCCGGTTACAAGGCAAGCTCGTATACCATTCACCCACTGGGACGTTTTAACAACAATTCGACGACGATTGTGGCAACAGATAGTTATTAGATTATAATCATAAAACATGTACGTGTGCATGTGTATGTGATAATTTGCATAAATACGACCCTCAGTTGACAATCAGACTACTTCAAAACTAATAAATGAACACAATAGTTGATGCTCATGTGAATGTCCATATTTCACTCTATTCAGGCTATTTACATGTAAATTTCATGTGAATGAACGAATGAAATAGTCAAAAAAGAGGGAGGTAAAATGAGTTAGAACGTGATGTGTATGTGACAGTGTGATGTGATTCAGTATTTATGAATTTGTTTATTGAACGGTAGACCAGGATGACAATGTTAGCTGAATGTCTTCAGTTTGTACACTGAGTTTTGGCTGTTTTAAGCGAGTTGCTATGGCTTCTGCTGTTTTGAGTATTGGGTACCTATTGGCTTTAGGTGGTTTATTATTCAGTACACGACAATCGACAGTAATGGATTCTCCTATGCTGGCGTTCTGTCTGTTTGCATCAGGTGTGCTAATATCGAACTGTTAATGCGTTGGATATTACACCTTTATTTCATCAAGCTAGTGAGTGTTCCCAAGCACGAAAAATTAAGTTGTCAGAAGAACGACTGATATAACTGGCTGCAAAAATACAGTGGAATCGACAAATACTAGTGGAAGTGGCCTGACTAATCTATGACTGTGTATCATTCAACAAACAGCTGATACAGATTAAATAGAGTCCGGTTCAAGTATCCTTGATGAATATGTCTATCTCGATTGTGCCATCATCATCATCATCATCATCATCATCATCATCATCATCATCATCATCATCATCATCATCATCATCATCATCATCATCATCATCATCATCATCATCATCATCATCATCATCATCATCATCATCATCATCATCATCATCATCATCATCATCATCATCATCATCATCATCATCATCATCATCATCATCATCATCATCATCATCATCATCATCATCATCATCATCATCATCATCATCATCATCATCATCATCATCATCATCATCATCATCATCATCATCATCATCATCATCATCATCATCATCATCATCATCATCATCATCATCATCATCATCATCATCATCATCATCATCATCATCATCATCATCATCATCATCATCATCATCATCATCATCATCATCATCATCATCATCATCATCATCATCATCATCATCATCATCATCATCATCATCATCATCATCATCATCATCATCATCATCATCATCATCATCATCATCATCATCATCATCATCATCATCATCATCATCATCATCTCCATCTCATTGTCTCATGGATGAATCAGGAAAATGTAACCAATTGTCTCACTCACAGTCCATTGTGAAACTGATGTCTCCATACACAACACAATGTAGAGACTTTGGAATAATTCACACGTGCGGTCCATGTCTTCGCAGATTACATATTTGATTTCATATAGCTGCTAAATGCTTTCTTGTATATTATCACGTGATTTCATTCCTGTATGTTTCTGTGTAAGTAATACTTTGTAGTAGAACATTGGCCAAATGTCTTCTCGAATATTCACTTAAACTGATTGCAAATAGTTAGTATCTTTCCATGTGTGATGTGATCGTCATTTCATCACATCACTTCACTGCAATCCCTGTGCTTCTTTCTTCATTTCACTAATCCTATTCAGATTTCAGTCTATATACATAGCCGAAGATACGGCTAATTGTGTTTTATTGACATTGATAATATCACATGACTGTTGTTTCACCAAAATCATTTCTTAGTTTACTGGAAAAGTAAAATGGCGTATGATGTCTAGTATGACGTTAGTCAAATATCGTCTACACCTACTATCTTACTTATTATTATTGTTATTGTTATTATTGATACGACCGTGACCGAGATTTATGCTTTGAATGCGTGACCCGTAGTTCGACTGTCATTTCTGTCAGAGAATTGTAAGTGCCTTTCCTGGACCTTAATGTAAAAAGAAGAAACGATGGAATGGTTGAAATGTCCATCTACATACAGAAAAGAAACCTAGACTGGACAATATCTTCACTACAACACATTCTGCCATATAAGCTATGAGCGGGGATTAGTAAGATCACTGCACGGTAGAGCCAGGAAGTTATCTTCACCTAAAAAGGTAGAAGAAGAATCGAGCTTTCTTCAAAAATGCCTTAGGGAAAACGGGCATCCAAAGGGATTTATCCTAAAGTACAACAAAGAAAAAGATGAGAAAGCGAAGTATCCAACATTTGAAAAGAAGAAAGTGTTCATTTGTCTCCCATTCAAAGGAGAAGCAGTATCCCAAAATATGGGCAAGAGGATGAAAGGAGTAAATAAAGAGATGCTTCCCTGCAGCTAGGCTGGTGACGCTATACAGCATTCACAACATGCTCTATAATCCAATCGAAACTGGATAAGTACCCTACTGATGTTACCTCCAACTGCGTTTGTAAATTTACGTGCACATGCGGCAGGATATTGCAAGAAACTTATGCTTAAAAGGAAGCAGATATTTGCAAAGTGCAATTACCAGACACCTTGTGGATACGGGTCATTTTGTCGAGATTTCCACATACTTCACTATATTAAACATACACAAGACAGTGAATCTACTCCTATTTGCTGAAGCAATTGCAATCAAACGTTTTAGATGAAACTTGTGCACACAGAAAGAGAGTGTAGTCAATCTGTCACTCCCTTGGTAACCGTATTACTTTGATTACACTGACTAGTCATACACACTAGTGAGCTCAGCTCACTAAGCAAGTTTTCAATTTGATGAACTTTAACCTTCTTAAGTTCGCATGTTGACGTACAAGCTTACGCTGTTTATTAAATTTTTTCTGTGTTCTGTCTCCACCCCTGCACACACACACATACACACACACTTTATTTTCATAGTTTGATAGCATGTAAATTGATGGTGACTTAAACTAAAAATTGCACTGCTTATATTCCTGATGCGTTCGTCTTATGGTGTTTTCTCGATTACCTGTCAAACATCGAAGTATGAAATGTCATTATTTATAACCATTGTAATTTCAGGTAGTTTGCAGTTAGCTGATGAGAACCTGTGAAACAGAATGATGATATCATTTTCTACTGCAAATCTCGTCTTTCTTTCTCTACCGAAATTTATCAAGGGAACCGACTGTATGAAATAATGACAATGGCAATAACCCAATATTATTTCAGGTCAGGAAAGAACTTTTTAGATGCACTTGTAAATGTAACACGAAAAATGTTTACACAAATGAATTTGCCGAAAATTGCTTTAACAGTGGAACAGATAGATGATCTTAGTGATAGATATTCTATATGCGTCAGTCACAGTTGTCGCACATTGATGAGGGATCACGACGGCGTCTACCCATCGTGTAGTGTGTTCGGTCGTCACCAAGAGGTACTGGTTGCCACTGGATATCTACTACTGGAGACGGATCCATCACATCTACAGACCACAAGTCGTCTACTGACATAACTAGAATTGACTACAGAGGCCGTTGTATGCACCCATCTCCTCTCATCAACTGGCACTGCGGACATCCAAGTACATATTTTGCCACATCTTCTCTCATATCTGGCCAGCACATGCTTTGTCTGAAGAGGTCGGTTGTTCTGACCACTCGTGTATGTACTAGCTGTGCTATGATATTCTCATATCATATCCTGATGTAGAGAATGAGGTATTACCGTCAACCAACTTCCATCGTTCTCTCGCCAAATCAGAGTTCCTTAGGCATTCACTCTTAATCGATCTTTCTGTCTGAGTAGCGTAGTCAGATCTTTATTCTCCGTAGGTTGTTGATTCACTTCTGTTCCGTTAGTGATCAGCTGTATGACCGTGTTCAGGGTGTGGTCTGATTTCTGACTGAGGGCAAATCTTAATGAGTCTTGTTCCAATGCATACAGTCCGTAAACAATCTCCAGTAACTCAGCTTCGTCTTCCGGTATAGATAAAATGTCTGGCGAGAAATTTTCTTCTCCAGGGACGTGCGAGATCGTGAATTCATACAGTGACAATTTCCCACTTGGATCGCTCACCGTCCTCAGGAACTGTGGTTGCTTGCGATCAGTTTCGATGTGGAACCGTTGGCCGAGTAAATACGGTCTCAGTTTGTCTACTGCTCATACTATTACTAAACATCCTTTCTCTGTCTCTGAATACTTCTATTCTGTGTGTGTGTGTGTTAAAACACAACTGTCATATTCGCCAACTGCTTCAACCTGTCTAAGTACTGCGCCTATGCTATAGTCAGTAGCATCTGTGTACACTGTGAGCTGTTTTCCTGGTGCAGTCAGTTTTAGAGTCATTTTCTGGTGGTCTAAATTCCGTTTGGTACTGTCGAATATTTTCTGCGAATCTTCCGACCAAAGAAAATTCGACTAACCTATTAAACTCAACAGGGGGCCGCTATCTCGTTGAAGTTTTTCACAAATCCACCATAAAACACTCCTCACCCCGGAGGAACTGCCTTAGCTTCGTCTTGCAATTCGGGGTCGTAATGGTCTATATCGACAAGATTTCTTCCGGAAGCGGTTTTATCTCACTGTTGTCCACTTTATCATCCAACAGCGTCACACTCTGTTTGGCTATCTGAGATTTTGTTTTGTTGATGCACAGTGCATACTCTTCAATGCGTCCTAAGATGACTTCGACATGGATCACATGGTCGCTTTCCTTTTGACTGTAGATGACGAGATCATCACCGTACATTTCCACACTCTTCAAGTATCTAAGTAACAACATTGGTCATCAGTTGTCTGAAGGTGAACGGTGCTAGTCCTGCTAGTCCAAATGACAGGCGTTTAAACCTATAGTGTTTTTGAGCCACGATGAACGCTGTCTGAACTCTGTTACTCTGTTTCATCGGTATCTGGCAATATCCTGACTGCATGTCGAGCACTGTAAACAACTTCACGCTTTGCAGATAATCCATGTCCATATTACTAATAAATGACAGCCTGTTTTACCACACTTGCACTTCTCTTCTTTGGACATAGGAAATACACTGCGGTAACTGGATATTAAACTTTCAGATAATCGAAGTGTAAACTTTCCAGATCTGCAACAATACGCAAGTTCGTAGACACAGTTGTGTTGTTCGGGTATGTGTCATAAATGCAGCATGCAAAAATGACTTGTGGTACTGGTGAAGGTTGTTATTTGCTTTGAAATTAGGTAAGGATATTGAATTCTCCGATATGTTACTTTAATTGCGATTACGGGAAATTAGGAATTATATTGCATTTTCTTGCACTGATGAGTCAGTAAAAATTTAAGAGAATACTATATTTCTAATGCGTATGAAAACAGCCAGAAAAGATGTGCACATTATGGTTGTGGCTATAAGTCATACGTCTACTCGAATACTCACACTTCATCCTACTTCTTTTTTCACCACGTATTCGCTCATTGGCCACACATTATTTGTAAGTCACACATTGCATTTTGGGTAGCTGGAGTAATCACCACAGTATGCAGTCATTTGAGTTAACAAAACTATTGACAAATGCAACGAAAGAGTTCAGATAAATATTCCTAAATATCTGATATCCTGTTATAAGGTATAAACTGTGAGAATTGGAAAGTTTATCATCTTTCTAATTTCTAATTCATGAATAGATGTGAAGACAGATGTTGTTTGAGATTTTATGGAATTTCACACTATTCATTCTTTACAATGATCAACTTAAATGAAGTGAGAGTAGAAATTCAATCAGGATAATATGATATCGTGTTATTTTTTCACTCTGTCCTCCTCTCTGTCAATATTTCATCGCTATCATCATCATGATCATAATTTATGAATAGAACATGTTTCATTTTTATTATTGAACAGATTCGAAGTGACAATGGAAGAATATCTCGAACAGATGTTGTATTTGGTCGAATGCCTCATGCATTCATACAAGTTTCATAACGAATGATAGAGATGCAGAAGACAGTCAATACAAATCGCACTTGCAAGGTAACTGGGGGAATTCAGAACCAAATTATTCAGAGGTTGAAAATAAAGATGTAAATAGTGGAGGATGTGCTGCAGGAGGAGGAGGAGTTGGTGGTGGTGGCGGCGCCGCTGGTGGTGGTGGTGGTAACAATGCTACTGGGATGCGTAATTTTAGACAAGCACTTAAAATGCCGAAAGTAACACATCATTTCCTTGAATTCCTTCAACCAGATACAAGACTCTTCAATACAGTTCTGGTCCCTGTTCCACCAGGCGATGAGTCTATACAAGCATTACGCGTTGTAGCTTCAACAATTCTCATTTCACTTCACTCGATTGGTAAGCGAACACTTAAATTTCGTCCTACATTATTTTTTATGCTAATCGAAATAACTAAACTTATCCACACTGACAGTCTGTAGCATTGGTAACATTTTATCCAATTGAAGGTTAGATGGGAAATCAGAAGTTGCTTATGATGGATGAGTTAGCTCATTTTGTATATCCTCGCTAGGGATTTCGCTTATCAACTCATCGACTTTGTCATTTTGCCTAAAGACTTCACATTGGATATATTCAAATATCCAGTAATTGATCTATTGAAACAACTTGTGAACACTATTCAATACGTACGTGTCAAAATGAAACAAGAGTATCGATTCACATCACTTCTATATCGTCAATTGCTTGGCTCATTGGAATGCATAATCTGCTTCTATTCAAATGAAGGGTTGTTGCATATTATGATTGAGATAGTCGAATCAGTTATCTGTCAGAGGCGGCCTGCTTAAATTTGGGCTACCGAAAAGTTCCATCGATATTTCTCAGGTGATTCCTGGCGTCCAGGTTGTTTAAATTTTGTTCTTGTATTCCTTCACATTCCAAGGGGAACATAGGGCTTGAAGCTAGAGCTTTGGAGTTTCTGTAGCAGTTATTATTTACGTGGTTGGGTTACTGGCTTCAAGCCCAAGCATCCCTCTTTACCGGATCTAATACCGACTAGGCGAGGGTTAGGTGCGCGTCGGCCGGCGACTGAACCCCGGACCTTATACGTGATTGGCGAGCATTGAACCGCTACACCACCGACGCACTTGTTTAAATCTAATAAAATATAATCTCTAATTGTATTATTTATTCTGGCAAGTATTTTTTTAAATGTCTGGAATCTGTTGATTCGCGAGTTTCTACTAAACATGAGAAGAAGCATAATTGTGGGTGGCAGTGTATTCCAATGCAAGAGATGACTGTTCATGAGTTGAGTCCTTGGTTCTCAAAATGTGTTCGTTAAGCGTTTCTAATTGTCATTCAAGCCAAATTTCGTGGATTTAACGAGGGAGACAAACAAGGGATATCACAATGATTTGGTTCGGGCTGCAGGTCAGATTGCAATGTGTCACAAGATCTAGTGTCGATTGATATTTTATTCAGAGATCCCGTACATGAAAAAGACGTTATGCGATAAACTCCATTGAAAATTGTGTACATTATATAAACACTGTTGTGAAAAATACTTTATTTATTATTATTACCTATGTAGAAATGAGACGTACATTAGTTTTGACTATACACATGGAAAATGTAGGTCTCTTCATATTTTTATTTGAGCTATACCTGTTGAGATGATCAAATCATGACACCTTCTTGATTGATGATCACTTAAAACAATTTTTGTAGTTCAAGATTTCCTAATACATGAGTTGTGTTGGTGCAATTCCGGATGAAGTTGTCATCAAGTGTCGAAGATGAGGTGTTGACGAGTACTCGGAGTACACCAAACAGTTTCCGCCCCCTCCTCCTCCTTCACCTGAGTTAGGAACTTTGCCATTAATGTCATACTTATTGTTTTCATGACGTGCCAGATGGTTTGCTTCAGTTCACTCTCATGATATGTTAATTTACGGTACACGATAATCAGTTAGATTGCACATTTTATTATGAGTCTACTTCTCATGTGAAGTCATATACAAGTGACTACTTTTATTCACTATTATTTACAAGTTGACTGAGATTCCAGTGTACATAACAGCGTTCCATATAGACAAGTTGTCATTAATACTTACAGAATGAGATGCATATTCTATTGACGTATTATTATTATATTATTATTATTATTCATGTTTGTCAGTTAATAAAAAATGAATAAATCGGCGCGATGTGTATAGGTAGGTATAATAGACTTTTCTTGAAATGTTACATTGACCCCGAAACATTCATTGTTTGTTTATTTGGTTGTTTTTGGCTGACCATATATGTCTGTTTGTGTGTGTGTGTGTACAAGAGGTAACCAGTTCGGCGTAATGATGATGATGATGACACTTACAGTAAACACACTAATTCAAATTACAAATTTATTCTTATTGTTACTGACACTAAGCCTGACTTGAAATAATATTGGGTAATTGTCATCGTCATTATTATTGTTATTATTATAGACTACGTCACCGTAATACGAAATACATATCAGTGTAGACATGTTAAACACTTCAGACAAATTATTTCATCATTCTATGAAAGTGTATGAAAGGTGTATGAAACTGTTTGTTTTTGTATAACAAAGGAATGGACTGAGTAAACATTTACAGCGACACTGATTCGATTGAAGTCAGTTTGACTTGGAATAATCAATTATTCAGTTGACTTCCTGTCAAGTTGTTAGAGCACTGAGATGAGTTGAAAGTGTAGACCTTGAGAAGACATATTTGTTTCATCTCACTTATTCATTTTACAGCAAGTGAGTGGTATTAACAATTTCACATAACCCTCGTTGAAAACTCTATTCTAATTTCTCCCTAGCTGCACCAACAACCCATCCATCAGTCAGCACTTCTAGTTGTGAAATCGGAGACAGTAATTTGACACGACACTCAACTATTAATAACTAGCAAAGGCGGAGAGAAAGTATGAATGCAGAGTGTTAGACAAGGCTGTTATTTGTTTGTGCTAAGTTTTGAAGTGGCAGTAGGTTGATTGACTTAGGAAAATGTAATTTCATAGTTTAACTTTGACATCTTTCGTGAGATTATGCAGTGCTCACCCTTTCGGTTCATTGCACTGGATCAAACTGAGAGACTAATATGACATGTTATCTGTCAATCCAGATTTACATCCGTAGTTTAGTTACAGACTTCAACATTTGCCTCCTATGGACTACTTGACTAACTAAATCACGATTGGTTGTTAATATGCACTCATATTTCACTCGACTGATTAACTGTCAAACATTTTATTGCATTGTCGACAACCATGGCACCTTTCAAAAGGCGAAGAATCCGATGTCAGTTAGAAGGCGAAGTCGAGCGACAAGTGAAGCAGGTGTTACAGAATGATATTATTGAAGAAACTGACACTCCGTATAATTCTCCAATTTTTTAGTGAAGAAAGGGATTCTCGACAGCTAAAAACATGAGAGAGTTGAGACTTTGTGCCATGCCAACTGTATTGGAGACTTTGGATCATTCACAAGGCGTGAGGTTGTTTACAGTGCTCGACATCCAGTCAGGATATTGGCAGATACCGATAAAACAGAGTGACAGAGTTGAGACAGTGTTCATCGTGGCTCAAAAACACTATCGGTTTAAACGCATGTCATTTGGACTAGCAGGACTAGCACCGTTCACCTTCAGACAACTGATGACCAATGTTGTTACTTAGATACTTGAAGAATGTGGAAGTGTACGGTGATGATCTCGTCATCTACAGTCGAAAGGAAAGCGACCATGTGATCCATGTCGAAGCCGTGTTAAGACGCATTGAAGAGTATGGACTGTGCATCAACAAAACAAAATCTCAGATAGCCAAACAGAGTGTGACGCTGTTGGGTGATAAAGTGGACAACAGTGAGATAAAACCGCTTCCGGAGGAAATCTTGTCGATATAGACCATTACGACCCCGAATTGCAAGAGGAAGCTAAGGCAGTTCCTCCGGGGTGAGGAGTGTTTTATGGTCGATTTGTGAAAAACTTCAACGAGATAGCGGCCCCCTGTTGAGTTTATTAGGTGAGTCGAATTTTTTTTGGTCGGAAGATTCGCAGAAAATATTCGACAGTACCAAACGGATTTTAGACCACCAGAAAATGACTCTAAAACTGACTGTACCAGGAAAACAGTTCACAGTGTACACAGATGCGAGTGACTATGGCATAGGCGCAGTACTTAGACAGGTTGAAGCAGTTGGCGAATATGACAGTTGTGTTTTAACACACACACACACAGAACAGAAGTATTCAGAGACAGAGAAAGAATGTTTAGTAATAGTATGAGCAGTAGACAAACGGAGACCATGTTTACTCGGCCAACGGTTCCACATCGAAACTGATCGCAAGCCACTACACTTCCTGAGGACGGTGAGCGACCCAAGTGGGAAATTGTCACGGTGGATGTTGCACCTGCAGGAGTATGAATTCACGATCTCACACGTCCCTGGAGAAGAAAATTTCTCGCCAGACATTTTATCTACACCGGAAGACGAAGCTGAGTTACTGGAGATTGTTTACGGACTGTATGCATTGGAACAAGACTCATTAAGAATTGCCTGCAGTCAGAAATCAGACCACACCCTGAACACGGTCATACAGCTGATCACTAACGGAACAGAAGTGAATCAACAACCTACGGCGAATAAAGATCTGACTACGCTACTCAGACAGAAAGATCGATTGAGAGTGAACGCCTAAGGAACTCTGATTTGGCGAGAGAACGATGGAAGTTGGTTGACGGTAATACCTCATTCTCTACATCAGGAGATGATATGAGAATATCATAGCACAGCTAGTACATACACGAGTGGCCAGAACAACCGACCTCTTCAGACAAAGCATGTGCTGGCCAGATATGAGAGAAGATGTGGCAAAATATGTACTTGGATGTCCGCAGTGCCAGTTGATGAGAGGAGATGGGTGCATACGACGGCCTCTGCAGTCAATTCCAGTTATGTCAGTAGACGACTTGTGGTCCGTAGATGTGATGGATCCGTCTCGAGTAGCAGACATCCAGTGGCAACCAGTACCTCTTGGTGACGACCGAACACACTACACGATGGGTAGACGCCGTCGTGATCCCTCATCAATGTGCGACAACTGTGACTGACGCATGTCGAATATTTATCTCTAAGATCATCCATCTGTTCCACTGTTAAAGCAATTTTCGACAAATTCATTTGTGTAAACATTTTTCGTGTTACATTTACAAGTGCATCTGAAAAGTTCTTTCCTGACCTGAAATAATATTGGGTTATTGCCATTGTCATTATTTCATACATTTGGTTCCCTTGATAAATTTCGATAGAGAAAGAAAGACGAGATTTGCAGTAGAAAATGATATCATCATTCTATTTCACAGGTTCTCATCAGCTAACTGCAAACTACCTGAAATTACAATGGTTATAAATAATGACATTTCATACTTCAATGTTTGAAAGGTAACAGAGAAAACATCATAAGACGAACGCATCAGGAATATAAGCACTACAATTTTTAGTTTAAGTCACCATCAGTTTACATGCTATCAAACTATGAAAATAAAGGTGTGTGTGTTGGGGGGGGGGGGACAGAACACAGAAAAATTTAATAAACAGTGTTAGCTTGTACGTCAACATGGCAACTCAAGAAGGTTAAAGTTCATCAAATTGAAAACTTGCTTAGTGAGCTGAGCTTACTAGTGTGTATGACTAGTCAGTGTAATCAAAGTAATACGGTTACCAAGGGAGTGAGGGATTGACTACACTCTCTTTCTGTGTGTACAAGTTTCATCTGAAACGTTTGATTGCAATTGCTTCAGCAAATCGTAGTAGATTCGCTGTCCTTTGTATGTTTAATATTGTGAAGGATGTGGAAATCTCGACAAAATGACCCGTATCCACAAGGTGTCTGGTAATTGCACTTTGCAAATATCTGCTTCCTTTTAAGCATAAGTTTCTTGCAATATGCTCTGACAACAGGATATAAGCTCTTCTTTCTGTCCTTCGAATGTACTTGCTGCCGCAGGTGCACGTAAATTTACAAACGCAGTTGGAGGTAACATCAGCAGGGTACTTATCCAGTTTCGATTGGCTTATAGAGCATGTAGTGTATGCTGTATAGCGTCAGCAGCTCAGCTGCAGAGAAGCAATTTTTTATTTGCTCCTTTCATCCTCTTGTCAATCTTTTGTGATACTGCTTCTCCTTTGAATGGGAGACAAATGAACACTTTCTTCTTTTCAACTGTTGGATACTTCGCTTTCTCATCTTTTTCTTTGTTGTACTTTAGGATAAATCCCTTTGGATACCCGTTTTCCCTAAGGCATGTTTCAACAAAGCCTAATTCTTCTTCTACCTTGTTAGGCGAACATAACTTCCTGGCTCTGTCGTACAGTGTCCTTACTAATCCCCGCTCATAGCTTATAGGGCAGAATGTGTTGTAGTGAAGATATTGTCCAGTCCAAGTTTCTTTTCTGTATGTAGATGGACATTTCAACCATTCCATCGTTTCTTCTTTTTACATTAAGGTCCAGGAAAGGCACTTACAATTCTCTGACAGAAATGATAGTCGAACTACGGGTCACGCATTCAAAGCATAAATCTCGGTCACGGTCGTATCAATAATAACAATAACAATAATAATAAGTAAGTAAGTAGGTGTAGACAAGATTTGACTAACGTCATACTAGACATCATACGCCATTTACTTTTCCAGCAAACTAAGAAATATTGTTGATCAAACAACAGTCATGTGATATTATCAATGTCAATAAAACATAATTAGGCATATCTTCAGCTATATATACAGACTGAAATCTGAATAGGATTAGTGAAATGAAGAAAGAAGCATAGGGATTGTAGTGAAGTGATGTGATGAAATGACGATCACAACACACATGGAAAGATACTAACTATTTGCAATAAGTTTAGGTGAATATTCGAGAAGACATTTGGCCAATGTTCTGCTAAAAGTATTACTTACACAGAAACATACAGGAATGAAATCACGTGATAATATACAAGAAAGCGTTAAGCAGCTATATGAAATCAAATATGTAATCTGCGAAGACATGGACCACACGTGTGAATTATTCCAAAGTCTCTACATTGTGTTGTGTATGGAGACATCAGTTTCACAATGGACTATGAGTGAGACAATCAGTTACATTTTCCTGATTCATCCATGAGACAATGAGATGGAGATGATGAGATGGCACAATCGAGATAGACATATTCCTCACGGATACTTGAACCGGACTCTATTTAAACTATATCAGCTGTTTGTTGAGTGAAACACAGTCATAGATTAGCCAGGCCACTTCCACCAGTATTTGTCGATTCCACTGTACCTTTGCAGCCAGTTATATCAGTCGTTGTTCTGACAACTTAATTTTTCGTGCTTGGTAACACTCACTAGCGTAACGAAATTTCAGGTGTAATATCAAACGCATTAACAGTTCGATATTAGCACACCTGATGCAAACAGACATAACGCCAGCATAGGAGAATCCATTACTGTCGATTGTCGTGTACTGAATAATAAACCAGCTAAAGCCAATAGGTACCCAGTACTCAAAACAGCAGAAGCCATAACAACTCGCTTAAAACAGCCAAAACTCAGTGTACAAAATAAACAAGTTCAGCTACCATTGTCATCCTGGCCTACCGTTCAATGTACAAATTCATAAATACTGAATCACGTCACGCTGTCACATACACATCACGTTCTACCTCATTTTTCCCCATCTTGTTTTATAGTATCATTCGTTCATTCATATGAACTTCATAAATAAACAGCCTGAATAGAATGAAATATGGACACTCACATGAGCATCAACTATTGTGTTCATTTATTAGTTTTGAAGTAGTCTGATTGTCAACTGAGTGTCACATTTATGCATATTATCACACACACACGCACACGTACATGTTTTGTGACTATAATCTAATAACTATCTGTTGCCACAATCGTCGTCGAATTGTTATGTCAACGTCTCGATGATATTTAAAAACCATTACTGTAGTAGTTGTAGGCATCATTCAGAATTATTCACTCACGATCATGGATATGTAACTGTAGAACCTGAAGAGAAGCAAGTTATCGAAAAGAAATGTGCTTTGTGCAATAATCAGCCAATTAAAAATTTCGAATGAGTTACACATTTTGTTTTAATGTCAGTGGTAAAGAGAACCAACACCATATATCAAAAATGGATGAATGAATAATAATCTTTGTGTATGGATGTTGAATTAACTATACGAGTAAATAACCAATCATACTGAAGGGTCAGAGGGTGAGGTCATCTTCCACTCTCAACCAATCAAAGATATCCACGCAGCTGTATTCTTCTCAAATGATTGGTTAATAAAATTATTGTCACTGCCAATCGTGTCGAAACACTGACTGCTTAAAATGACAACAATCGACAAGAATCGGTCAATTATTAAACAACGCGAAAACACACCGAACACACAGAGAATGGCCACATGTTATGCTGAACAGCAGTTGAAACTGTTGGCTAGTGATTATCAAGTGGATATCAACTCAATCGACTTCGCATTAGAACTCGACAAGAATGACTCACTACACTCCTATCGATCAGAATTTCATTTACCAGATTACAATGAAGTGATGAAAGTGATTCAGTCGAAATCTGACAACAGCAGTCAAGACAATGATGCAAGTGATTCACAAAAACGGATTCTCTACTTTTGTGGAAATTCAATGGGTCTGCAACCAACACGCTTGAAAGCCTATCTGGATAGTATATTAAATCAGTGGAGAGATTTAGGCGTTTTAGCCTATCATTATGGTAAGTTGCCAGCATCCTATTGTGATGAACAATTATCAATCGATTGTGCTCAATGGATTGTCAATGCTCAAGCAAGTGAAGTTAGCATCACTTGTAATCTAACAGTTAATATGCACATGTTAATTGCAAAATTCTACCGACCGAAAGGTGATAAGAACTGCATCCTAATTGAAGATGGAATCTTTCCAAGTGATCTGTATGTTTTGGAATCACAAATCAATTGGCATGGTTTAACACCAGACGAGTGCATTATCAAGATGAAACCACGTGTCAATGAGTACTGTTTGCGAAATGAAGATATTCTACAAGCGATTAAGCAGAATCAGCATCGAATTGCATTGATTTGGTTACCAGGAGTACAGTATGTTACGGGACAGTTATTTAACATGGAAGAAATTACTCGATGGGGTCATGAATATTCACAATGTCCAGTTGGATGGGATTTAGCTCATGCTGTCGGTAATGTGCCCCTACGTCTACACGACTGGGATGTTGATATGGCTGTATGGTGTTCATACAAATACTTGAATGGCAGTCCAGGAGCTATGGGTGGTTTATTCGTCCATGAAAGACATCATCATCAAGAAGGTAGTTATGGACCGAAATTTGTTGAGTCCAATAGCAACAACAACAGCAACAACACGAATGGTATTCACAATGACATATCTGGTCCACAGTTGACCGGTTGGTGGAGTCATCGATCCGAGACACGACTTGATCTCACTGGCCATATGGAATTGGCGAGAGGCGCTGATGCCTATCGAATATCTAATCCTCCATTACTATTGGCTGCCGCCTTAACGGTCAGTCTCGATATAATCAAATCATGTGGAGGTATGCATCGTTTGAGAGAAAAGTCAATACAATTGACTAATTACCTTGAATATTTGATTACAAGCAGTCCATTAGCTCTGCCACACAATCAATATCAGCTGGTGACACCATCCAATCCAAGTGAACGTGGTGCACAGTTGACATTGAGTTTCACTTACGCTAACGTCGAGAAAGTTTATGAGAATCTCTTACAGTTGGGTGCTATATGTGACTATCGGAAACCAAGTTTCTTACGTATTTCACCAATACCATTGTATAACAGTTTTGAAGACGTCTACTTATTTGTGAAATGCCTTCGTCAAACTTTGAATAATACAACAAATTAGTTTCATTTGATTCTGCATATTTTCACAGTTAAATAAAAGCTGAGGTGGGTAATACAAAAGTACAACCACAAATAAATGTGTTTTTATCTTGTTTCGCTTGCGTAGTTCTCCACTGGGATAGATCAACTACAGAATAGAAGTATACTGGGTGCTCTCAATTTTACCAACAATCACTAAATCGCTCATGATATGAATATCTCACTAGTAACTTATTCTCAATTTCGAGAGTCAGTGATGTTAATTCAACTCTGAGGATACAGATGCATCCGACCGATTAGTACTCACCGCCTCTAACCTCCTTAGTTGTAAGAAATTCATCTGGCCGCCTTCTAGACGTGTAGAGTTCGACTTCGATGAAGCGAATGTCATATTACTGTGCATAATTCATTGCTACATCAAAATGATGAGTATGAATACAAATTAGTTTATTTATTTGTGTGTGTATGCGTGTGTGTGGAATATATCACTGAAGGAAAAATCACCTAGAAGAGGGCAACACAAATATCAAAGACTAGGAGTTTAAGGAGTCAATATTAGACGAATAGGTTTATCCACTGAAAATGTCTAGCTACCAGGACAGTCATACGAATATTCATAACAGGTGACGACTACACATAAGATGATGGTGATGAGCATTTGCAACAAGAAATCTGACCCATCATCAGTTGGAGTATTGTGTGCTTGACCTGTATATCTCATGGTATACACAAGACAACATACACCATAACTACAGTCAATATGGTTTCTACAGTGAGCTTAACAGACAGTGCCAAAAGTAACCTCACCAGTGTGCACCCGTCTGACTGTTGGTATCGAAACTCCACCTTAAGTATGATGATAAACATCTGAATTGAATGTAAGTCATCAAGTTTCTCACACCTGCAGATCATTTGAAATGTAATCTTATCGTGAGTTACAGACATTTGTGAGGAGAAAGTGTAGTCGACAGAGTAGCTTCACACAATGAATTAAAAATTCACAACAAACAACTCAGGAATGCATTAGAATTTTGATTTTAGAAGACTAAATTATTTGTTGATTTGTGGTTCACACAAAAGTGTAGGACACTTGATACTTAATTCGAAGGCAGGTAATTTTCTGAGTCATCCTCGTTATTTGTATGACTGTCAACCAGGTTAACTGATAATAGATTGAATCGTTTGGTTTAAATATATTGTAACATGTTCACTAGTCTTGCAGCAAAACTAGTTAACCGAAGAAGTATGGAACACTGTGCTAAGGGGTCAGTGAAGGAGCATGGAAATTTAAATATCTACCAAATGAAAAGCTGTTGTCAGCCACCCTAGATCTTTAATTAACCGTAATTCTAAGTGGTATATTCACATGTTCATGTTTTTATTTAGCATTAAATTTCTTATAGAAGAGAGTTTTAAGTTAACTGAAGAGGCAGGCGAATTTTCTCCCATTAAATAAAAGTAATAAGCCAGACACTAAATGCCTCGAAAGCCTGTCGACTGATATTACCTCGGTTTTGTAAGCATTCAGTAGACGTTTACAAACAACGTTTTCTCTGTTCAAGACAATCAATGTACCATCAGTGTTTAAGTGATATAGCACAGTTTGAAACAATACTTGGATGCGGGAACGCTATCGAACACTATGTGAAAGGTGAATGGATGACAGCATCGACTTGGATTCAGAATAAAATTTAAAAGCATCGTGTGATAAATTTACGCTGGTGTCAATTATTCTTCGTGGTTTCCGTGATGAAACCGTCTTCTTTTCTTTTTCAAGGACGGTTATGTTTTAATGTATAACACAAAGTTATTTTGCCTCAATCTCTATGGAGCATCTGAGCTCAGACTACAATAAGGCCAAACTACTCAACAATGATATCTAGTAGTCATACATGACCAGTGCATTTCAGAGACGTACATCAAATTTATAAAGGTGTGTAGTTGGGCTTTTATAATCAACAAGATAAACACCAGTGTGATATAGAAGTTTTGATTAGAAATAGGCGTAAGAAGCAATTGGGTCATACAAAATGAAATCGACTGTACTAATAAATTCTTCCAATGTTCTCTCAGCCTCTTAACATTCAATCTATCGGTAGTATTTTATTAGTGTATTGGATGATTGTGACGGAAGAAATGAAAGTTATAACTTACCAGAATCATGTTATACATATATTTGCTCAACACATTTCGAACAGTCTGATCATACACATACTTGTCATGCATATTGACATTAATCTCAACAGAGTATAAAATGGTCAAAGTTCAGTCAACCTGGATGAAAATGTTAGTTTAGGTGTCATGTCACAGATAAATGAGAGGAAGAGAAGAAGAGAAATTTGAATAGGTAAATAAACTTTGGTTTGGAAATTTGACTGTCAAGGAGTGTTCGATGTGATAACACACAATTTTTGGACAACTGAGATGGGTTTAATGTCTTTTATGGTTAGGGTGTTAATTAAATGCTTGTTGAAATGCATATGTTCAATGCATATGTCGTGAAAATAGCACTAAGGAAGAAGTGAGAGATCCCACCAAAATATTGTTAAGTAACAAATATCCTCTGAATTACATTAAACACTGAAGGTACGTCGTCAAACAAAATACTTGAATAATTCAATAAGTATTAGTTTTTGTAGGGATTTAGTTTGATTGGCTGGAGGATTTCATCATGAGCTGACATCAGTTAGAGAATCATTGGAAAGCCTGGGAGTTCTGGACAGCTGTTAATTCCTAGTTTGGAACTGGCTCCTCAGCAGTATGCACCCACCGGGGTTCAAACCCAGGACCTTCTGGTTGTAAGGCTAGCGAGCTCGTAGACCATTAAGCCACTGGGACCCGATGCAATCGTCCATGAAATCTAACTTCTGCTGATTCATGACATAGCGCGACCAATTCGCAATGTCTTCTCGATGAAGAGTCCCAAACTAGGACGAAACAGCTGTCCAGTACTCCCACGCTTTCCAATGGTTCTCTAACTGATATCAGCTCGTGATGAAATCCTCCAAACAATTCAATAAGTCTCGAAAAACGAGATATATACCAGACAAAATAAACGTAAACTGTCACTGTATGGAAGCTACTGTGCTGTCCTGTTAACTGTCGTAGCCTTTCGAACTATAGTTTCATATTCTATTGCATATACGAGTTTATATGTATGTGCAGTCGTACACATATAGGATGGCGCAACTGGTCAATGCAGGTTACGCCTACAGAGCGGCACAAAGTGGCTGCAAAAGCAAATGAAATCACTTAACCAGTTAACTCTGGGAATACATGTCCCACGTCATTTGCCTGAAAGCACATCATACACACAGGTTATACAATATATATATATATATATATAACAGCTTTGGGTCAAAACCTAATTTGTTTAACGCACTAGCCATAAAAGGGCTTATTCCATTTGTCCAAATATCAATTGTCATCACTCTGAATCTACCTTGGTAATCAGATATGAAAACCAAAGTTTATTTACCTATTCAAATTTCTCTTCTTCTCTTCCTCTCATTTATCTGTGATTTGACACCTAAACTAACATTTTGACCCAGGTTGACTGAACTTTGACCATTTTATACTCTGTTGAGTTTAATGTAAATATGCATGACAAGTATGTGTATGATCAGACTGTTCGAAATGTGTTGAGCAAATAAATGCACAACACGATTCTCATACATCACACTTGATAATTTTTGTTCGAAATTCATGCAGGGAGCTATTTGCTTTAGATTACGACATATTTCTATATGTATTTCTTACAAGGTTATCCAACCTAGTGATGAAGTGTGTGCACAATGAAATATCAAAGGCTAAGGAACAAAACAAAGTGATTACCACGCCTAAACTAAAGCCCCTTATTTGCAATTAATAATGTTTTCTGAGCTGGTTGGTTTAGTTGCGAAGTTTTCGTCGTCCTTCTGTACAACATCTTCACGGCCATATTTAGCACAAAGTGAAATGATTTAAATTTCTTCATGAGTGATATAATTGCGTCTCCTGGTCCTGTCCAGAGGGACGACTAAAGCTTCGCAACTAAACCAGCCAGCTCAGAGAACACTATTAATTGCAAATCATCCACCTGAGCTACAAATCTTCTCTATTGTTTTAAAGCCACTTATCTTTTCTACCATAGCGTAATTCTGAAATATGCCCAAATCAATCTGCCAACCAACAGCATTCTGTATCATCCAAACAACACTGACTGTGCATTTCAGTTCATTGTATCTTGTCCGTGCTTATATTTTAATTTACTGGGTTGAGAGCATTGACTGTTTTCTAGTGTAATGGTTACTTGAACGCGTTTCTCAGTATTGCTCTAAGTTTTATTTGATTATGATTTATTTAATGATCACTAACGAAAGAGTCCGATGCATGCATTTCGACGTATTTGAGATTCGTCGGCGGGGTGTAAACTTACTCAGCTTCAACATAGAAATCTACATAGAATTTTCGCAGTTCAAGTTGCCACACACTTCATGTAGTATACAAAGGTGGAGAAAAGAGAGATTCACAAGGATCTCTTTCACTTGGGTGTATCCACATCTGAATGAGTGTCAGTGTTCTCAACGAGAAATGAAGGCAAAATATTCATAATTTCAAGCTCCAAAACGTTATTCATCAAGAAAATCATCTTATGTTTAATGATTGCCACACGTGAAATGCCACTGTTATTTTCCACACTGTAAATAACAGTTGAACTAGACATACTTTTTTCTTCTCATTACACATTAGTGTGGCCATTCAGTGTATTGCAGTCATATGCATCACAAGTATGTCTCCAGTCTCTTTTCATTTCTCCTCTCATCAGGCTGTATCAATTTCACCTGAAACCTCTTCTAGATGTCTGAATGAATATTTTTGCTATATTGAAATCTTCTAGATAAGTCGAAATGAATTAGGATTAACAGATTTCTATTTTATTTTTATCACAGTAGACAATGTCATTAACAGAAGACGACTCAGCGAAGAAACATTTCCCATTTAAACAGTGTCATTTTACTCACTCACTCACTCATTTACTTA